CGATGGAAGACGCAACAATCTAGCATCTAATATGACAAAGACGGCAGGAAATGTTTCTGTAGCCGATGTTTTTAACGAATTGAGAATTGAGAGAATGTAGATTTTTCTATTTGAAATCGGAGTTGGTAAACTGAATGACACGGCGAGAGCGGGATGGTCAGCATCTAGACTAATCAGTGGCCGGTAATGCGAAATCATTTGCCGGGACAAGATCTAGTAAACGTCCGTTTCGGTTGGGAAAAGTGTTTAACCCGTGGAAGTTAAATCCGTCCAAAAGAGTACAGCAAACCACCAGCATATGCAATAGCAGTGGGTCAATGAATGGTGTGCCGCTGTCGGTAAAGCGCCACTGTAAACCAGTTTGGTTGTAGTCGACAAATAGTAGTGCGCGAGAGCGGGGACTCAATCGAGACCTAACGATGATGCTCACCTGGGTACTGCGAACACAGCCGTTTTTGCTTTGCAAGTCAGCAGGAAACAACTTGAAAATTTTCCGATATCACAAATTGTTTTGCTAATGCACTGCTCACAATTTGCATATACATGCTGTCGAAAGTTCACCCTTTGTTCCATAAATAACGTGTACATGGTGTTGGGAGTGCACCTACCCACATGACTCTTATAAAGTTTGTTTGCATTCTTCCTTCAGCAGTTCGTGCAGGTTCGTTCGTTCGTTACATTGTTTACATCCGAGTATTTAAGCAAGTTTTTTGTTGAAGAATATTAGTAAAAAAATGCCGAAATGACAATATTTTAAACATTGACCACAATACTTTCTCTGCCGACGGGGATTGTATGAGAAAAGTATCACTTTTAGCAGCTCTAGATCGTTGGATTCTTTTTGACAGCACCAGTTGGATTCTTTATGTCAACCATTTCGTGTTTCTCCGCACCACTCAGATGCTCACGGATGATCCTGCAGTCGGCAGGTAGACAGCGCCAATACTGCGAATGTTTTGTGGAAATTCCACGACAATCCAGAGCTGTTCCAGCAGACTGGAAATGGGCGAGATACTTAGGTAGCTGGTTAGTCTAGTTGACACAGCAGCCAGAACGCTTTTTGACTGTAGGCCGGAGGTCCCCGATTTGTTGTTGTTTTGCTAGACAGCAGCTTTTCGACTTCGCACCTCCATATGTTGCTGTGATGCGAAAAGTGAGAAAGCAAATGACAGTGATCTTGCTCGCTGAGCAATGTGAGTTACTCGAGGTGCCTCAAAATCATCTCTGAAATTGCTCATGATTAGGAGCTGTCTTGCCCCTTGGAAAAGGATTCGTTTTCAGAGCATTTTTTTCAACTCGATTTCAAAATTGGAATTGAAAGCAAGACAATTATTTCACTTTTTGACACAGAACTAACAAATTGGGTTGTTTAATTACGAGAAACATACCCGTTTCTATACATAATCTGAGTTACGAGAGCTTCAAGAAAGTACAAACTTCGAGAATGTACAAACGAGAACTTCGAGAATGTATAAAGATCCGAGAGAGATTTTAAGGGAAGTTCCGTGATCTTTAGGGAAGTTCAGAGATATTTAGGACAGTCCCTATACATTTAGGCAAGTCCCAAGAACTTCAAGTAAGTTCCAAGAACTTCAGAGTACTACCGAATAATTTCGAGATCTTAAGAACATTCCCATTAACTTCTGGAAATGGCGAGAATCTTCAAGAAGTTCCGAGAACTTCAGGAAAGTATAAATCTTCGATAATTAAGTTTAATGAATTTCAAGGGTAAGTTCTGAAAACATAAGGAAAATAGACGATTGGTGTACATTAGAGAACGCTTGCGCAAAAACACTAGGGAGGGAAAAGGATTCGAAACTCAAATGTCATTCGCCAAATACATCCGTAGACCATAGATCCACCGTTGTATAATTGGCAATGCACCCGTGTACTGAATGGGAATTGTGGGTTCGAATCCCACCGGTGTCCTTAGGTTTTATCGCAAATTTTCTCACACACACACACGTCTCTTACCGATGATATGTGCTTACCTCTCAATATCTTCTAACTTTCGTATAAAAAAATAAAATTGACTACAAGTCGTTAACCGTAATCCAAGGGAAATTAAGTTCATGAAAATTGCGGGTACCTTGAATAAGTTCCGAGAATTTCAGAGAATTCAAAAGAACTTTAGAAGAGTTCAGAGATCTTCAGGAAATTTATGAAACTCCCCGGGAGTACCCTTAAAATGTCAGGATCTGACCAACGTTGCCAAGTGACAATCTGCCAAGTTCATAATATGGCCACCAATGATCTTATTTTTGATTGCTCATGAAATTTGATGTGGCGTAGAAGAGTCTGGCCACTTCCCCGGGGTACCTGGTACATGTCCGGATCTGTCCAACATGGTCCTGAGTAATTAATATGACACCATAGATATTATTTTTGAATTCTAATGTAATTTGATGTATCGCATGACGATGTAGATTCAAGGAGAATCTGGCCACTTGCCTGGGGTACCAGTAACATGCCCGGATTTGGTCAATGCTGTCCTGAGTACTTAATATGGCCAACCGATGGAAACTAACGATTTTAAATTGGCTCACTACTTGACTAGCCCATTGGTCCCAAGCAAATCGATTAACGTATCCCATTCTAGTCGAAATTCTAGTACTACACTCTGTTTGTTTTGATTAGCTATGAAAGTTTGACAGATAAAATGAAGGGTTCATGGATTTTCCTATGTTTCGAGGGGTGCATCGATTAGCTTGGGACCGAAGAGAGTACCAAAGCTGAGCCAAAAAGTTGAGCACGTTTCTTCGGGACCTACTAGTTTTAGAGTTACCTCTATGACATGGCCACATCTTATTTTTGGATTCTCACGTACTTTGATGTGCTGCATGACGGTGCAGGTTCAAGAAGCATGTGGCCACTTTCCCGAGGGTAACCGGAACATGTCCAGATCTGGTCAACGTGTTCTTGAGTACTTAATATGGCCATCATTGATCTATTTTTTGAATTATCATGTAATTTGATGTGTCGCATGAGGATGTTGGTCTTGAACCACTGCCTTGGCCACTTCCCCGGGAGTAGCCGGAACATGTTCAGAAGCAGCCAACGTGGTTCTGACTACGTAATACAGCCTTGGGTGATACACTACACTTTGTGAAAACCGAAAATGGAACATGTAACAAAATTATGAAAGATTTTGAACGTTAATAACTCAGCTGCCCCTGGACCAATTTCAATAATTTTATCACCAATCGATCAGAAATATGGCTACGCATCATCTTAAACCTAAAATTTAAGACTATATAATTTTGAAAAATGTCACTACTGAAAAAAGCACAAATGTGCAATTGTTGTTATGATATTTCAAATTATCACCGATTGTCTGCGGAAAGCGATTTCCCTAACACAGATTTCAATGTTGAATTCCATCCGGTCTCACGAAACGTTTGTAAGCTTTGGCTTATTTGCCAGCCTATAGCTGGCCCGATTTTACCCCGGCGGGGCAGCCTCGAGCAAGGGTACTTCCCTTAAAGTCGTTCGGATTTGGGTGAAACAACAAAACAACAAGAAGGAATCAATTTTAGCCGTCTATTATTTACTTATCTGTCCTTTGTCCTCCTCCTCGCCGTTGCTGCTGATGTTCGGTGGGGCCGACCGACGGTATGGCGGCGGTTCTGCTGAGCGGTTTGCTTCTTCGACTGCTTGGCAGCTGTCCTTAACACTTAGTGGGGGGGGGGGATGGTGACGAATCACCGGACTACTCGCCGTAGGCATCTCCTGCAGTCACCGTAGTGTTTTCTGCCCAGGCAAACTCACCTCTGAAACTGCCTGCTTCGTCCTGCAGACTGGCTCTTTTGGCTGAGCCACCGCAGTCAGGACGGCGGGTGTTTACCGGATCCTGAACTACTAGAACAGTGTTTCTTTTTCCGCAGCCACGGGGCCGGCTTTCACTCGCGGTACACAAAAGTTGTCGTACTGGCACTCGCGACACGGCTGAGAGTCGATTTCCCGGCTGGAGTAGAGCGATTTCGGCCTGAAACGGGGTAATTTGTCTCCGAATCCAAAACACGCGTTCACTCCACCGTGGCTCGGATACTTCTCCTTTTTTTGTTTCACAACGTCACAATTACCAAAACAAAACCACCATCGCTCCTGCAAGCTCGCGCAGAAGGGCGTGCTTTGCATTGCTAAGTTATTTTGGGCAACCTGTTGATGTAGTTTTTCTTAGAAGATCGAGAAGCTGTAGCTTATAAGTGACAAAATATTTCCCCGTACAAGCTTAAGAATCCTGTTAATTGGCGTTTCCACGGTGATTCACAAGTCGAAGTGACTTCCTAGCGTAACTTCCCGTGATGATGCTGAAGACGACAACCCGACTGCAGCTCAGCAAGCAGCATTCCCAGGACCATCATCATCTGCTGCAACGTCGAGTCCAAACAGTCAACACTGAACATTTAGACATTTTGAAATGTCTTTGGAATTCGATTGGATCTGTTGTCTTCTAAACCGGAAAATCCAATATGCAGAGAGTACCTGTTTAGTAGATTCGGACATCCGTTATAGAGCAGAAACTAAACTTGAGATAGAGAGGCAGCCCGAGATGATTCAACCGCGATAGAAACACGAATCCATCCAAATCAGAAGAAAAACGGCAACGATGAACTTCAAGTCCAATGTTCCTGGCAAGTAGCAGCCATTTCATCCTGTTCGTGCGCTCAACAGAATAGCAGATGCAGCAGTTATTGTGCAACTCATGGCTTGGGAAATATTTTGTTACCTTCTCGCGGGAATTCGGGCACTTTTGTTTTGTTTCGATAGTCAAAGCCAACAATTTTTTGAACATTGTGTCTGATGCGAAAAATCGATTAGTTTTCCAATTTATCTCTTCTTGCAATCTTCGATGCGCGCGTATTTAATGAGAACTTTGTCAGCGAACTGAGCTTCGCTTCACGAAAAGCCGACCTCATCTTTCACTTCCAGATAGGCTAATTCATCTTCTCTTTTCCACATTGTTTCTTTCTGTCTTCCTTTTGGAAACGTATATTCAGAGGCGAAACGGAACCTGAAGCGCCCAGCAGCCTCAACGGATCACTACGATGACGATCGGAAACGCTCGTCGGGATCGGACCGACTATTCGAGGCACCTCCACCACCATCTATTTCCACTTCGGTGTAAGTTTTTGTGCTTTTTCACATCTAGATTTATTCATTCAACTGATTTTCATTTGCAGTCGCGGTTCCTATTCGGCTGTTGAAAAGAAACGCCTGGATGACTACCCGCCATCGAAACGGGAAGACTACAAGTCCCGTGACGAATTCAAATCACGCTCGGGCCCGGTGGATGACTACCGACGGGACAGTTTCAAGCGCAACGGCGGAGGTGGCGTAATGGACGACTACAGCAAGCGGGATTTGGATCGCCCGTCGATGCCTTCGATGGAGAGTCGCTATACGGATTCCCGGAAGCGAACTGACTATCGTGGAAGCGGTGGTCCACGGGATGATCGCGATCGCAATGGATCGGCACCAAAGTCCCGTTATATGGATCCGATGGATCAACGCTACCCTGATCGGTCCGGTAGCAGTGGTGGCGGTGGCGGTAGCAGCAGCGGACCATGGAATGCTGGACCACCGCAGATGAGTATGGCACCGGCTGGTATGGGAAACGATGGCTGGCGAATGGATAACGGACAGGATCGGTACGATCGTACCTATAACGAGAGGAAAGCCCCGCAAATGAGCGCCAGCCCCTTCATGGATCCATCGAGGCAGAGTCAATTCATGGGAGGTGGCAGCAGCGGTGGACGACCACAAGACCGATATGGAGCCCCTGTGTCCGGACGGTTCGATAATGGACGATACTAAGTAGGAAAAGGTGTTATATTTAAACTCAGTGGGAAGATTCACCACCTGAGGGCAGCAGTGGTTTATCAGAAATTATTCTGACTTAGACTCAGTGGGAAAATCACCACCTGATCCAATGAGAATTCTCAGAGGCGAATCTGCACCTCCTGAGATAAGCTCTCCTTTTACCCGCAAATAGTCTGTCATCAATATGACCACTTCAGAATGAGAACGCAGTTAGGAATATTTCCTACAACTAATATTCTCTATTATCAAAAGGTATTTATCAGATATCAGATACATTGTTATGCTTACATTGAGTGTATTACATTTCATGGTCCTGTTCTACTAGCGACTCATAAACGGTCCTGACTACTTCTATTATATACTTCTCTCTTCTTATGTACCGAGTGGCACATCGGCTGCCTCTGCGGTGTCAGTGTGTGTGTAACCTCGCGTTGGAAAAGCAACGTGCCTACCATCCTATATGCCCTCTTACAAATTGGAAATTGTATTTTAACAAAAGGTACACTGGTTTGTGGTGTACGTTGGAATTCCTAACGCCCTGCTGTGTGGTTAAAACTAGATTTACATTATTCACGTATGAATGACAACTTTAAACATAGTTCAACATTAGGCTAATGTATGGCAAGAACTAGTTCGCGCCCCACCTCGTTCCCTCTTCATCCCAACATATAGTTCACTTCTGTCGTAGATGTGTGATCATTTGGTGTAAGAATCATCTCTGTAGACATTATTGAGTGTAGGAACTAAGTAATTTAAGACAGGATTCAATAAACAAATTAAACTTAATCTTAAAAGAATTAATGTACATCGACAACAACTACGTTTTTGAGAAAGCACTGCACGGTTTGTCTCGAAATTTAAGCCATTTTTTCTAGCTTATTAACTCAATTTCGAAAACACAAGACCAAGTTTCCTGAGTTTCTGTGACCCACCAAATCACAGCCCACGACCCACCAGTGGGTCGCGACCCAAAGATTGAGAAACGCTGCTATAAGTCATGTAGTGATTTAAATTTTGAAAGATCTTACAGTACATATTATAATTTCTAGAATTTTCCAAAGACTTCTAAGATTCATTGGAGCTCCAGCACATCCTGGCAGTTCTGAGAATTCTTGCAGTTATAGAGCACTAGAATTTCTTGGAGTTTAAAAGCGTTCCGAGGGTTTCAGGTCACCAAGAAGATCTTGAAATTCTGTTTTGAAAGTTCTCAGAGTACAGATGGATCTCGATTTTGGCAACATGTCTGCTTCATCTATGTTGTCAAAGTTGAGATTTTTTTGACATGTCACAATTGAGTGCTAAAATGGCTTAACAATAAGAATCAATCCTAAGTGGAGTGTTGAAATTTTTTGGAAAAAAGCCATTTATGATTATCTAAAAAAAAATCGTGTTGCCAAAATCGAATACCTTTGGGTCTCGATTTTGGCCACATAAACAAATAAAAAAAACCTAAAAATGACGTAATATCATTTATAAATACTCCCCAGTATATAATTTCATCAAATGTAGCATTATTTAAAAAATATAATCTTAGATTTTTCAGATTTTTTTGTGTTGCCAAAATCTAGATCCATCTGTACTGGAATTCCTTAGCCTGCTCAGAAGTTCTGAGGTTGCTGAAGTGTCAGAAGCTTCTGGAGTTTTGAGATCTCTTGCAGTTTTCAGCGCTCCAGTATTTCTATAAGTCTTTCAAATGTGGAGTTATTTAAAGTTTTCATAGTACCGGAATTCTCCAGGTAAAGGGTACCGAGGGAGATCCAGATATTCGAAAAGATTAAACAGTTCCAAAATTGCCCTGGAGTTTAAACACCTTTTTACACAAACTAATCTATTGTTGTTGAGAAAATCAAATCACGATGTCCAGTATTGTATATTTCAGTTAGTTTTTCAAAATAAAAATTGTATTTGCGCAATACACCTTGTGAACATCGAGTTTTAATGTAGGGCGAGTTGATTTCTTGCTTCGTTTACGGGGCCTTAGAAAAGATTAAACAAACAACGATCTCACTAATTTCCATTTGGTCACGTTTTTGAAGAATTGCATATTAATAACCGGGAATATTCTGAGGAACCGGGAAAACCGGGAATTTCAAAATTAAAATTCACTAGCCACTCTGCCAGATGCCGTGCTAAGGGATATGACACACCTCAATCTGACTGCCACGGCAGCGGGTACCGCGCTTTTTTTTTTGCTGGCGCTTTTGCTGGCAGTTGTGCTGTCTGTGTCACTTTTGACACCTGTTCTGGTACAAATTGCTGTCTTTTGCTCTAGTACCGGGTGCACCAGGTACACTAAAAAAACAGCTAGGTGAACCAAAAAAAATCGCTTGAAGGAGGTCCTTACCCTTTGGGTCCATGGTTACACGGTGTCACCATAGAGGTAACTCTAAGACCAGAAGGTCCCGAAGAAACGTACTTAACTTTGTGGCTCAGCTCTGGTACTATCTTCGGTCCCAAGCTAATCGATGCACCCCTCGAAACATAGGAAAATCCACTAACCCCTCATTTTATCTGTCAAACTTTCATAACGAATCAAAACAAACATATTGTAGTACTGGAATTTCGACTAGAATGGGGAACGTTAATCGATTTGCTTGGGACCAATAGGCTAGTCAAGTAGTGAGCCAATTTAAAATCGATAGTTTCGTATTGATTGTTGGTGTCACCGCGTGGTGAGTGTGGTGTTCTCAAGTACACAACGAAAGGCTGCCTGCAAGCAGCGAGCTGCAGCTCACATGAGCATCCATAGAAGGTGGAAAAAGCCGCACAGCTATTGATCGGAATCAGTAGCTCTTCGTGAGTCGCTGTGGGCCATCTCTGTCAAGCGCGTCATACTAAAGTGTTTAAACAGAGATAACCCCGCTCAAATTCCTATTCCTACACAAAACACAAGCTCTTGCTGCAGTTGACAAATAAGATTTATTATATATGAACACGTATTTTGTACGTCCCCATTGCGTACAACCCCCTGTTTTTCATAATGATGATAAAGAACGCGTTTTAGTACTTTTAGTACTAGTACTTAGCACGCGACCTTCAAAAAAGTGTGATACATTTTTAGAATCTCAGAAATTTTAATGAATCTTCAGAACTTCAGGGAAATTCGGCGATTTAAAAAAAATACGATTTCAGGGATGTTTGTAGATTTGGAGAGAGACATTTAAAATTTCAAGATAGCTTATATATTTCAGATAAATTTTGAAAACTTAACGTAATTTAGATGATCTTCAGGGTAGCCCGAGAGCCTACAGAGGAATTTGAAAAACTTCAGAGAAGTTTGCAGATCTACTTAGAAATTTATTGAGCCTCAAGGTTTTTCTCATAGGTCTTGAGAATAGAACTACGGAGCTTCAGACTACTTTTCAGAACTTCAGAAGAGTAGATACTGATAGAAATCTGCAGAACTGCAAGGAATTTTACAGATTTTCAGAGACATTTAATGATTCAGATAGCTTCACGGTTTCAGAAAACTGTGAGATCTTCAGAAAGAATCGTAAAATTTCAGAAAAGTGCTTCAATTCCAAAAATAAATCTCAGCGAAGCACGAAAAACGTGAAGAAGTTCTTACATTTTGGAACATTTTGCAAAACTTCAGCAAAACTCACAGAGCTTCGGGAAAGTTCGCCAATCTTTAGAAGGATTTACACAACTTCAGAGAAATTCGTAAATCATCAGATAAATTTTTAAAACTTCAGTGAAGTTCAAATATTTTCAGATAATTTGTAGAGCTATGGGGAATTTCAAAGAATTTCTGATAAATCTGTAGAACTTTATAGAAATCCTAGAATCCACAAAGAAAATTACAGAACTTTAGAGAAGTTCGGAGATCTACTGAGAAATTTATTGAACTGCAGGGCAGTTCGTAGATCTTCAGAGCAGAAATACAGTACTTCGGAAAACTTTACAGAATTTAAAAGAAATTTTTGGAACTTCAGAAAAGTTCAGCGGGTGGATCGTAAATCTACTGAAAAATCAGCAGATGTTTAAATAAATTTTCAGAATTTTATTGCAGCTCTTGGATTTTAACAGAAATTTACAGAAATTCAGGTAAGTTCACTGATCTTTAGATATATTTGCCCAACTTCAGGAAAATTAGTAGATCTTCAGAGAACTTCCTAAAACTTCCAGGAAGCTCAAAAATATCTAGATAATCTTTTAATTCTTTAAGGAATTGTGTAGATGTTCAGAGATAATTGCAGATATTCATTGAATCATGTTAAAAAAAATAGTGAACATCTGAGATAATTCTTGATCTTTTATCTGTAATCTGCAGGGATTCAGGAACTTTGTAGATTTTTAGTGAAATCTGCAGAACTTCTGAAAAACACACAGCACTTCAAAGAAATTTGTAGAACTACCGAAAAATTTGCAGATCTTCTGGAAAGTTTGTTGATAGTTAAAGATATTTTACCAGAGAACAGAAACAAAACTGCAGGGACTTCCGAAGGCCTCCAAAGGAATATGCAGAATTGAGTTCTTAACAGAAATTTTCAGAACTCAAGTAATCATGTAGATCTATGTAGAACTTTTCCCACTAGCTTGTCGAAAGTTGGTATCGAGATCCTGGCGAAGTTTTGAAATCCATTTCCATCTTCATATCACAGTTCTTGAAGGACAAGGTGAGCCAGATTCTTGCTGGTGTTCCTCCTGCCTGAGTAACCATAACCTACTCCACAAAGTTCACCTTCTCCTTCATTTAAAATAATAAAAGCAAATAAGCCTGCCGAAGCTAGAGCAATTTCCCGGTAATTCACGATGGAAGTATTTTCGACAGTTCTTTCAACATGGCAAACAGGGGGGTTCGAAAAAGTGGCGGCGGTCAAAATCAGACCAAGAAATCAGATAGTCTTAACGGACCTTTATATATACTGAAAATGTAAGTTGGGTGTTCACTTATCAAAGCCTTTCCTCTGATTTCATCTAGAATATAATCTTTCGATTCCCATCCTCTGACACACCCAAAGATTTCCTCTTATAATTTCCTGAAATTTACTACTCAAGCAACATTGTAACTTTTATCGAAGTTTAAAGCGTTCTACAAGTCTAAATCATGGTTCACAGAACCGCCAGAAAACCAAAATTGTTGTTTGGATACCTTACCTTATCTTAACGGCAGCACCACCAACAACAAATCTCAAACTCCACTCAATCATCGCTCTCAACCGATCCATGATCGGATTTTCCACGAAACGGGCGCACATTTTCACGCTCCATTTGATCGGTTTTCCAGCTCTCGGTAAAAGCAAAAAACGCATCTCGCTTTAGCTCTTCCCACTAGAATGCATCACCACCACCACAGTAGGCTGAATCCAAAGAGCATTCAAATCGGTCGATTTTGAGGTCGCATATGCTCATCAATCAACGCGAGCACCGTCGCCAACGCCGCCACCATCTTCCCCCGACTTCCAACTGGGAGATTTTGGACACTTAACGCACGGGGCCGGGATGTGATGTAATCTCTGTGCACGCTTCTCCACGGCACATGTTTCACGGTTGCCTGGCCTACGAAATCTAAACCTACGCGCGCAGCGCACGCTTGCTACGATCTAGGTCGTCAATGGCCCTTCAGTTCAGTCGTGGAGGTTGATGCTTGATCTCTCGCACTCTAAGTCACAACGGACGGCGATCCATTTTTTCACCAAACTGGGCGCCCCAGTACCGACTAGGACTTAGTGGGGGAAAATTTATCTCCCAGCCAGCAGGGGAAAACTTACGGCAACGCATGTTATTAGGAGGAAAATACGAGTACCTCTTCGAGCAGAGGTTACACGCTCTGGGTGGGCCACTTGTTCATGTTTGAAGTGCAGTGTTAATGGGTTCAGATGACAAACCCCGAGCACAGCGGAAGTACATAATGATTACACAATATAGACAGACAACGGTTACTGGAGTGTCGTTGAACCTTCCATCAATCATCGAAAGATCACATTTTTGGCATTCCTTTTCGTCGAGCGGGAAACGAAGGGGAATCCGGTTTCGGGTAAACTCGTTACACTACACGTTATCAGTTTGCTTTCACTAATTGACCATTGTACCGAGGGGTGTAGAACATACTGTAATCTTTCTTCCCATATAGAGCGGGGCGTTATCTTTTTAAACAAACAACGCTCGGACACGCACTTTAACGCCGTGTGGGATTCCGATAAGTTTGTAAACTTTCGGCAGGTGATGTGTCCGTCGAATTTGAGCCGGTGATTGATTTACAAGCAAATGGCGGCAGCGGTGTCGTTGAGAAATGTTTTATTAGCAATCGAAAAGTTGAACACGTCCGTTGAAAGTAACTCAGAGACTGAGTCAAGTTGATACAGTAATTTTACTCAGTTACGAAAACAAATGATTTACTTAGTGCTATGAGTAACTCCGCTTTGGACTTACTTTGGACAGGCGTGAACAATCTGTCGCTCATCGAAGCAGACGCCACACGGCCAATCATTTTGTCAATACTCGAAAGTATTGATCATCATATTGATGGTAATATTGACGATGAAAATATTGATGGACATATTGACGCAAGTTCAAAAAAGTTTGATTTGAGTTTCAATACATCCCCGCCATTTCCCCCTGCTCTTTGACTATATCAGCAGATGGGACCTGATTCGGGGCATGTCAGGAATGTTGTTGGTTGCCTCAGAATAGTCCATCGGATATAAGAAATTTATTCAAAACCCTCCAAAATTATTGATGAAACCATTGATGGAAATATTAAAAATTGCCGCGTTGGGTGCACTAAGTAAAAATGTTGAACGCAGGACTCAGGCATTATGGAACAATATCTATGTTTATTCGATTGAAACATACCGGTTGTATCGTTCTATTGGGAGTAGTTTTGTCTCGTCAAATACCTGCAAAAAATAAAAAAAATAAAATAGGAGTTATTTAATTTGTCAGTCATTCTCGAGCCACTTTAAAGATCAGAAATAAAGCTTTCACCTAAGAATCTGAAACGATCGAATGAAAAGGTTATCAAAATAAACCCAAGCATGCCATGGCAAATACGGCGTTCTCAGCTTTCTGCCATAGCTTACCGTTTGCAAATAATAACACATATTACACTGGAGTCGCTTTTTACGCGGGTGATACGTCCCGCGTAAAAAAAAACCGCGTAAAAAAAAACCGCGTAAATTCCGGAATCCGCGTAAAAAAAAACCGCGTAAATTCCGAAATCCGCGTAAAAAAAAACCGCGTAAAAAAAAAACCGTGTAAAAAAAAAACCGCGTAAGAAGCGACTCCAGTGTACACGTTTTGCGGTTTCCCCGGGAAACACAGGTCGACCCTATTCTCGTTTGCATGCGATCTCCCCGAAGGGGACGCTCCATTTCCTTTTTGTCGTGTTTGCTTTGTTTTTGCTTTTCAATTCAAATTCAAAATAAAAAAGAGGAAAATCTTGACGCTTGAGCCTCTGCTGTTTGGTTTTTTTTTTCTGGGAATTTCTACAGAACCGTCATCATCATAGTCGGCTGGTGGGAATTTTGAATCACCCCAGCATCAACAACATTGAATTGAAATGCATCAAGAACCTCTCTGAATGTGGATTTGTTTATGTTTTCGCTTTTCACCTGAACCGATGTCCCGCCTTCTGGTGAGAGGCAAGGTAAGTAATGAGATGCACAAGTGATGATGAGGGCATTCTGAAAGGAAATGGGAACATGTTGGTTGCATTCAAACAATCATTTGAACGTTCCATACCGATGAGATTTCTCATTTTGAATTCATGGGATGTGAATGGTTCCGATTCTTTAGAATTTCCTTACGTGAAATCACGAGTAATGACTTTCGCTTTTATCATTTTCAGCTCGGCCTTTGTGAATGGGGTACATTAGTAAATGAAGGCTTTCGACTGACAGGAATATGTGCCTGCGAGGCATGACATTGAGCTCCCTTTCACGAGTATATACCAGATGACAGATAGTGTTGTTTTATTATTACGTTCACCATCTTTGACTCTTCGAGGCAACAGAACGTAAGAATTCCATAAGTACCACTTATTCGTTTTAGCCACATGAAAACGGTATGAATTTCATTGATTTACCTTATGAAAAATAATGTTGACAGAAATATATTAAAATAGAGCAGACTGTGTTGACCACTTGTTTTTCATCGCTTGGGAAAATTAAATGGTTAAAAGCACCTCATGTTATACGAAAATCATTCATATGTGTCGTTCATAAGTCGAGCCTTATGAAATGCTTATGTTTGTTTGCCTCAGTGTGGTTTCGGATTGACCATGAAATCTTGAAATCGCTGGTAGAAAGTCACGCCAAAACTGCTTGACAAAGTGGTCAATTGATGCCACAGTAAAAAAAAACACGGCATTTAATTTTAAATTTCTGCAGAGAAAAACCACTCCATTGAAAACACCAAATAAATTTTCATAATTTTGAAATTTAATAAGGTTTCGTGAATTGTTACACAGATAAAGTTTAAACAGAATGTTGAAATGTCTAAAGGTCCGTTTCTTGATCTGATTTGGACCGCCGCCATAGTGAAAAATCTGCTCGAATTTACTTTCGACACACTTTGTCGAACCCCTCTGTTTGCTAGTGTTCACACTGCTTGCACATGTCGATCTGTCAATTTAGATTTCAAAACAAATCTGTATCAGGAATCAAATGTAAATACTTCCATCATGAATTACCGGGAAATTGCTCTAGCTTCGGCAGGCGTATTTACTTTTATTATTTTATATAAAATCAGAAGGAGAAGGCTGAACTTTGTGGATGGTTGCTCAGGAGGAACATCAGCAAGGATCTGGCTCATCTTGTCCTTCAAGAACTGCGATATGAAGATGAAAATAGATTTCAAAACTTCGCCAGGATCTCGATACCAACTTTCGACAAGCTAGTGGGAAAAGTTCTCTATAGATCTACATGATTCCTTGAGTTCTGAACATTTCTGTTAAGAACTCAATTCTGCATATTTCTTTGTAGACCTTCGGAAGTCCCTGCAGTTTTGTTTCTGTTCTCTGATTAACTATTTTTGACGATTAACAAACTTTCCTGAAGATCTGCAAACTTTTCGGAAGTTCTACAGATTTCTTCGAAGTGCTGTGTGTTCTTCAGAAGTTCTGAAAATTTTCCTAAAAATCTACAAAGTTCCTGAATCCCTGCATATTTAAGATCCTTAAAGATAAAAAATTATCTCTGATGTTCACTAATTTTTTAATAATCTACAAACTTTTCTCGAAAGTAGTGTAATTTTCTCTGTAGATTTTCATGGTTCAATGGATATCTGCAAATATCTCTGAACATCTATACAATTCCCTAAAGAATTAAAAGATAATCTATAAATTTTTGAGCTTCCTGGAAGTTTTAGGAAGTTCTCTGCAGATCTACTATTTTTTCTGAAGTTGTGCAAATATCTCTAAAGATCAACGAACTTACCTGAAGTTCTGTTTTTTTTTTCTCTTAAAAACCAAGAACCGCAATAAAATTCTGAAAATGTATTTAAACATCTGCAGATTTTTTTGTAGATTTACAAACTGCGCTCTGAACTTTTCTGAAGTTCCTAAAATTTCTTTTAAATTCTGTAAAGTTTTCTGAAGTACTGTATTTCTACTCTGAAGATCTACGAACTGCCCTGAAGTTCAATAAATTTCTCAGTAGATCTCCGAACTTCTTTAAAGTTCTGTAAATTTCTTTGTGGATTCGTGGACTTTCATAAAGTTCTGCAGATTTATCAGAAAAATCAGGAATTCCCCAAAGTTCTACAAATTAACTGATAATATTTGAACTAGACTGAAGTCTTAAAAATTTATCTGATGATTTAAAAAATTTCTCTGACGTTGTGTAAATACTTCTAAAGATCGGCGAACTTTCCCGAAGTTCTGTGAGTTTTGCTGAAGTTTTGCATTTGTTTCCAAAAATGTACGAACTTCCTGATGTTCTTTGTACTTCGCTGCGATTGTTTATGAAATTGAAGTACCTTTCTGTAATTTTACGATTTTTTGAAGATCTCACATTTGTCTGAAGCTTTAAAGCTTTCTGAACAACTGAATGTATCTGAAGATCTGCATAATTCCTTGCAGTTCTGCAGATTTCTCTTAATATCTACTGTTCTGAAGTTCTGTATAGTTGTCTGAAGCTCCGTAGTTCTATTCTCAAGATCTACAATAAAAAAACCTTAAGGCTCAATAAATTTCCCAGTAGATCTGCAAAATTCTCTGATTTTTTTTTTAATTCCTCTGTAGGCTCTCGGGCTACCCTGAAGATCTGAAAATCTCCCTGAAGTTAAGTTCTCAAAATTTATCTGAACATATTTGAGTTACCTTGAAGTTTTAAATGTTTCTCTCAAAATCTACAAATTTCTCTGAAATCGTGTAAATATTTTTTTTATCGTCTAACTTCCGTGAAGTTCTGCAAATTTGACTAAAGATCAATTAAAATTTATGAGATTCTAAAAATGCATCAGAAAATCTGCACACTTTCTTGATGGTCTTCAAATTTATCTGAAGATCTATGACCATTCTTGTGATTATTTCAGAAGTTCTGTAGACTGTCTCAAAGTTCTGTAGCTTTGTTCTGAAGATCTACGAATTTTTCTGATGTTCAATAATTTATCAGTAAATTAAAAAACTTCTGTGAAATACTTTATATTTCACTGAAGATTATTAGACTTGTCTGAAGTTCTGCGAATTTCCCTGAAAATTTGCAAAATGTCGCTTATAATTTTACAAATTGATCAGAAATTACTTTAGCTTACTTGAAGTTTTGAAAATTTCTTTGAACATTTATCTGAAGATCTACGATCTCTCTTCGGATTTTTTTTAATGAATTTCTGCTAATTTCTTTTAATTTCTGTAAAATTTTCTGAAGATTTGTAGTTCTGTTCTCAAGATCTACGAACTACCAACAATCAATACGAAACTAACGATTTAAAATTGGCTCACTACTTGACACTTGGTCCCAAGCAAATCGATTAACGTACCCCATTCTAGTAAAAATTCTAGTACTACACAATGTTCGTTTTGATTCGCTATGAAAGTTTGGCAGATAAAATGAGGGGTTATTGGATGTTCCTATGTTTCGAGGGGTGAATCGATGAGCTTGGGACCGAAGATAGTACCAGAGCTGAGCCAAAAAGTTGAGCTCGCTTCTTCGGGACCTTCTGGTCTTAGAGTTACGTCTATGGTACTACCCTGAAGCTCAACGAATTTCTCAGTAGATCTCCGAACCTCTCTGAAGCTCTACAAAATTCTTATTGGGCTCTCAAACCTGCTGTTTGGCATGCTGATTCTTAAATAATACATGCTTCGTATTATATAAATACTGTTTTGTTGACCATGTCATGATCAAAGCCATTACGGCTGTAAAATAAAAGGCCAATCACACTGTAAAATAAAAATCAGTCAAACCATACACAGGACATTATTGAATAGTGGAATCGGTTAACCTTCCCTAATAAAAAAAATATCATACCCGAACGATAACCCAGATGATTGAACTATTCCACTGATGGTTTGGATGATACCCTGAACTCGTCGTTAATCAAACTAACCATCCACATTTTATTAGAGTTGCTGCTGGATGCCATCGAAACACAAATCAAGTGTTCTTTAGTGGTTCAAATCCGTGAAATTTTAGAAAAAATATATAGATATATATATTTTCACCTCACTTGCGGCTATTTTGCTGAATTAGCCGAATGAAAATTAAGCACAAACTTATTTCGTTCTACAAATCAAACGTCAAATCTAACGATCCTATTGAAAAGTGTGAACGCATCCGAACATAGCATCCGACAAAATTATCTTAAACGTACCTTAAGTTATTACCAAAGCCATCATTTCCCCTATTTCATGAAAATGGACCACTTTGTAGAGCAGTTTTACCGTAACTTTCTAGCA